TTCCATGTGATCTAACCTTGTTAGCCAGTCTACCATGCGGAGCCTTGTTGAATGCCTTACTGAAGTCCATATAGACCACATCCACCCCTCTGCCTTCATCAGTCCTCTTTATCACTCCCTCAAAAAACTCAATCGAGTTAGTAAGACACAACTTCCCATGCACAAGGTCATGTTGACTATCCCTAATCAATCCTTGCCTTTCCAAATACATGTAAATCCTTTCCCCCGGAATCCCCTCCAATGACTTACCCACCACGGATGTCAGGCTCACTGGTTTATAGTTCCCTGTCTTTTTCTTTCCACTTTTCTTAAATAATGGCGCCACGTTACCTATCCTACAGTCTTCCAGCACTTCACTTGTGGCTATCGATAAAAATATCTCAGCAAGGGGCCCAGCAATCACTTTCCTAGCTTCCCACAAAGTTCTGGGGTACACCTGATCAGGTCTCTGGGACTTATCCACCTTTATGCATTTTAAGAACCCCAGCATCACCGCCTCTGTAATAAGGCCACTTTTCAAGATATTGCTATTCCACCAAGTTCTCTAGCTTCCATATCCTTCCCCACAGGAAACACTGATGCAAGATACTTGCTTAGTATCTCACCCACCTCCTACAGTTCCACACGTAGGCCACCTTGCTGATCTTTAAGGGGCACTATTCTCTCCCTAGTTATTCTTTTGTCCTTAATGTATTTGCAGAATCCCTTTGGATTCTCCTTAATCCTATTTGCCAAAGCTATCTCATGTCCCCTTTTTGCCTTCCTGATCTCCCTCTTAAGTATACTTCTACTGCCGTTGTACTCTACTAGGGATTCAGTCGATCCCTGCTGTCTATATCTGACATATGCTTCCTCCTTTTTCTTGACCAGAATCTCAATTTCTCTGGTCGTCCAGCATTCCCTACACCTACCAGCCTTACCTTTCACCTAACAGGAACATACTGCCTCTGGACTCTCGTTATCTCATTGTTGAAAGCTTCCCATTTCCAGCTATCCCTTTACCTGCAAATAACTGCCTCCCAGTCACCTTTTGGAAGTTCTTGCCTAATACTGTAAAAATTTGCCATCCTCCAATTTAGAATTTTAACTTTTAGGTCAAGTCTATCCTTTTCCATCACTATTTTAAAACTAATACATTTATGATCACTGGCTCCGAAAAGCTCCCTCACTGACACCTGAGTACAGCATGACTTTGTGGTAGGGCGGGTCTTGTCTTAGTAAATTGATTGAATTTTTTGAGAAGGTGATGAGGGTAGAACAGTGGATGTTGTTCACATGGATTTTAGTAAGGCTTTTGACAAGGTCCTCATGGTAGGCTCATCCAGAAGATTTAGATGCATGGTATCCATGGTGTCTTGGCCACCTGGATTCAGAATTAGCTTGCCCGTAGAAGACAGAGGGTCATGGTGGAAATGTGTTTTTCAGGTTGGTAGTCCATGACTAGTGGTGTTCCATAAGGATCTGTACTGGAACCTCTCCTGTTTGTGATATATATAAATGACTTGGATGAAAATGTAGATGAGTGGGTTAGTAAGTTTGCAGACGATACAAATATCGGCGAAGTTATGGTTAGTGTAGAAAGTTGTCAAAGGATACAGCGAGATATCGATCACTTGCAGGTATGGGTGGAGAAATGGCAGATGGAGTTTAATCCAGTCAAGTGAGAGGTGCTGCATTTCAGGAGATCAAATGTTGAGTAAAAGTATACAGTTAATGGCGGACCCTGGACAGCATTGACAGACAGGGATCTTGGGTTCAAGTCCATAGCTCCCTGAAAATGGCCATGCAATTAGATAGGATCATAAAGAATGCGTGTGGCATGCTTGCCTTTATTGGTCAGGGAATTGAGTACAAGAGTCAGGATGTCATATGGCAGCTTTATAAGACTTTAGTTAGGCCACACTTAGAGTATTGTGTTCAATTCTAGTCACCACATTATAGGAAGATGTACAGGCTTTGGAGAAGATGCAGAAGAGGTTTACCAGGATGCTGGCTGGATTGTAGACTGTGAGCTATAAGAAGCAGCTAGAAAAACTGGGGTTGTTTTCTCTGGAGCAGCAGAGGGTGAGGGGAGACTTGATAGAGGTCTATAAAATTGAGATGCGTAGGTAGGGTTGATGGTCAGAATCTTTTTCCCAGAGTTGAAACATCTTATAATAGGGGACATGCATTTAGGTGAGAAGGGGAAAGTTCAAAGGGGCTTTAAGAGTAAGTTATTGTGCACTGCTGGGGGTGGTGGTGGAGGAGGCAAATATGATAGAGGCATTTAAGGGACTTGTAGATGAGCACGTGAAAACACAAGGAATGGAGGAATATGGACCAAAGGCAGGCAGAAGGGATTAGTTTAATTTGGCATCCTGTTCGGCACAACATTGTGGCCAAAGGGCCCGTTCCTAGGCTATGCTGTTCTACATTCTGTCTCAGTCCTATGTTTCCAATCATGCCTTACCTGTCAGGCCTCTCGCATTGAAATAAATGCAATTTAATTCATCAGTCCTACCTTGTTCTCTACTTTGCTCCTGCCTGCCTTCACTGTTTGATTTGCTCTTTTTCCCAACTGCGCCAGTCTCAGACCAATCTCTTTTCTCACTGTCTCTCTGTGCTCCCCCTTCCCCTTTACTGGTTTGAATCCTCCCATGTATCTCTAGCAAATCCCCTGCCAGTATATTAGTCCCCTTCCAATTCAGGTGCAACCCCGTCCTCCTTAAACAGGTCACTTCTACCCGAGAAGAGATTTGAATGATTCAAAAATGTGAATCCTTCTTCCTGCAACAGCTCCTTCATCATGCATTCATCTGTTCTAGCCTCCTATTTCTATTCTCCAGCACCTTTCCGGAAACTGGCCACCACTTCAGACATCAATGTCCTTTAAACGGTGTAGTTTACCTTAATGATGTACAGATATACAATGACGTTTAAAATGATCGCTTGCAGCATCTGGAAGCTTTTTTGACGATGTTACAATTGGCTGATTGGCAATAAACTCTAAACAAATTTAGACTCTAAACGAGGCTGGTATCATAGAGCAAGGGCTGTGGAGGGCAAGCTGGAAAGTGAAGTTGAAATCAGGATAAGATCAGCCATGATCATGTTTAAATGGCAGAGTGGGCTCGAGCTGAATTGCGTACTCCTGCTCCTAATTCCTTTGTTCCTATGTTAAGAGCAAGAGAAGTACCAGCATTAGGGAAGCTCCCCATCCTTAGAGAGACATTAGAATCCACTGATCAGAATCCCTTAACTTTTGTGACTGTTTTGATGGACTTTGTTACTACAGCCTTATCTTTTAAAAATTATTCACATTGCAGGAAAGAAATGATTGCCAATGCTTTGTCAAGAATATGACCTTGTTTGAACTGTTTTCGTACTAAGAAGATATCAGACATACATGTATAAGTTACACGTAAAGAGGAAACGAGAATGAACGTATGATTGTGTCTTAATTTCTTTTTTAGTTTTATTTTGATCACATATTACTGTGCACCCCTTTTTTTCCCCACATGGTGGCATTGCCATGAAGCTGCAATGTGTTAAACATTGCTTGGATGACTTGAGTTTTGTAGAATTATGAAAGTCAGAATTATTTTGAGCTTTGTGGAATTACTTGGGATTCTTCTTTAAAGGAGGCCATTGAAAGATCACCTGCAGATGTTGGAGATTCTTTCAACAATGCTTCCTAGAAATCACATGACTGATAAACTGCTTGCTTTATTGCTTTCTGAAGAAGGGTCCTGACCCAAAACGTCAACTTTCCTGCTACTCTGATGCTGCCTGGCCTGTTGTGTTGCTCCAGCTCCACCCTGTGTTATCTCTGCTTTATTGTAGACCCCTGTTGTGAACAGTGATTTGCTTGGAGATGTATCTGTTTTATCTGGCTCAATTGGAGGAAAGCCTGCTTAGAACAAGCTGAGTTAGTGGAAAGCCTGCTACAACAAGCAACCAATCGATCTCATTTTAAGAAAGGAAGGCCTTCTTGTTGATTTCTAAGTGAAGCCTGTTCTTTTTTCAAGATTTTATTTTCTGATCAAGCTGTGTAGGCAAGACTTGAGTGACAACCATGCATGGTTAGTGACTTTCTGTGATGTTCTGGCATTTGTTGTCATCAGACTCCACAATGTTATATGCTTTTAGCCTTTATTAATAACCTATTGGCCAGAGTTTATTTTTTCAATAAACAACATCTGTAGAGAGAGCTCAATCAGAGATAGTAAGAACTGCTGATGCTGGAGTCCGAGATAACATGGTGTGGAGCTGGAAAAGCACAGCAGGCCAGGCAGGATCAGAGGAGCAGGAAAGTTGATGTTTCGGTTAGGGACGCTTCAGAAGAAGTGCTCCTCCAGCTCCACACTGTGTTATCTCTGTGGAGAGAGCTGTTTTTTTTATCTTTTTCTGAAGTGTGTGTGTTTGCATATGTGCACAGTTAAAGGGACAAACATTTATTTTTCTGTATTACTAATTGAGTGTTAAATTTGTTGTTTTGAATTTATTGTACACTTTTATTTTGGTAGTAAACCAGTAATTCTGTATATGAGGAAACCTGGTTGATAGATCTTGTTTTAAAACTGATATCGATTGGTCATCTTGGTAACAGGGAAAAAAGATTTATGTTATGTTATGCCTGGTAAAGCAGTAATACTAGAATGACGGTGTACTCCAACCTTGGTTCAAACAAGCGATTGTGTGCTTGAGAGGAGTTGTCTTTTTAAATAGACTTGATGAATAAGCAGGGAAGGTTCTAATTGGGGTGTGAATATCGGGTCATCCATAACAGGAGCTAAAAGCTAGATACAAAGACCAATTCCCACCCAAAATGTGTTTTTAACTTGCAGATCATTCTAAAATCACTTTAAACTGTATTCTGCATACCTTATAATGCGTAAGAAAAAAATGGTTTGCGATAGTACTGTTCTATGATTTTAAGTGCATGCATGACTACGATTACTTAAAATTATTCTATGTAATTATAACAATTTTAAACTCCATGTTATTCTGTTTCTGTACAGGCAGTCCTACATGGTATGGTATTTGCCTTCCTTTATAGTATATTAAAGAAAAGTCACCTCCTTTCTGAAGGCAAAGGCGAGACATTGTTTGCACCTAGGTTGTCATCCTTCTTACTTTTCACCTCAGTAGTTGTATTTTTGGTGAGTTTGACAAATTATAAAGTAGGTAAATAAGATTATTAACACTAGTTTTGTACGGTGTGGGGCAATGTGAAGCTGTCAAAGCTGCAGTTATGTGCTTCACAGAAATTGAAATGTGAACCTATTTGTGGTGCTGTTGAAGCAGTGAGTGGGGTAGGTAACCTCCTAAAATTAAAATTTGCTCTTAACCTGCCTAATATACTCCAAGATTGTATTCCTCATTGAAAGAACAACTACTTTTCTTAAAAAAAAAACTGAACCTCAAGTCTAGTGAGTGTATAACTTAGCAGCCTCAATTCAGGTTATACGGAATATGTTTATAATATGTTTAGATTTTTGATGTGTAAGTGTACATTACAACAAGTAACCAACTAATGTTATTTATTCAGACTTATTCAATATGGTGTGCCAACTGTAAAAGCAAAACTGAGTGCAATGAACTTCATCCTTACTTCTCTGTGTTGCAGGTATTTCCTTTTCATTTTTGATTCAAGTTTAAATTGTGCTATAAATATGTTATATATGCTAGACATGATACAACATTTCAGTTTTTTTTATTTCTTCCAGATCTTGTCTTTCATTCTTATTAGGAACATTCCTGGTTATGTTCGCTCTGTGTACAGTTCATTTTTTGCCTGGTTTGGCAAGATTTCCTTGGAAGTAAGTGACCCATACAATGTTAAGTTCACTTCAAGTAAGTTCAGTTCTGAGAATTTCAAAATTGAGTTGAACTTCTGGGGAATTTACGTTAAATGAAGTTAGAACAAAAAAAAAGACACTTGTACATATATTTTCATACATGCCAGACATCTCAAATCTCTTTGCAATCAATGAAGTATTTTGAACTGTAATCACTATTGTAATGTAGATTTTATATCCACCTGATAGGCCAAAGAGACTTCCAGCAGTGCAGCACTCCCTACTAATGCACTGGAGTGCAACCTTAGTTTTTGCACTCAATTTCTGAAGTGTGACTTGAACCCAGATTTTCCAGTTCAGAGTGAGGACGTTGGTAACAGGCAGAGCTGATCCACTGATTTGGTGTATTAAGGTAGATGGGCAAGAAGAAGATAGGGTTGCAGAGGAATAAAATGAAGTGAACTGAGAAAGAAGAGAGGAATGTAAAGAAAAAGCATATATTGCAGGGAGGCTTAAAAAATAATCATGGAGTTGAGAGTGTTTGTGTGATGGGTTGAGAGATGTGACATTACCTCAGTCGGATGTGTGCCAGGAACAACTACAGAAAGATTGTATGTTTATGGTGTGATTTTGTTTTTCACTTCTATCCCCTTTAAAGAAAGCCTAGTAGTCAAATACTTCAGGTAGTATTGTTTGACATCGCATCCACCCAACAGGTTTGCAGCACTGCCCACTGCTGCTATATCTTTGAAATATTGTTGGCTTTTAGTATTTCTGGTAATTCAGTTTAATTGCTATGATTCAATACATCAATTTCTTTGTAAGTTCCTTAAGTTTCTAAAAAGGAGTTGCAGCATTTAAATTGGTAGCTTTATTGTGAAACTGCTAACAAGTGAAAAGTAAACTGACACATTCTTGTAAAGTAGGATTAGAGTGAGTAGCAGTGCTTTGAATTCCAGACAAGTAGAAATCATCCAATAAGGCAAGAATGGGTATCACTCCTTTGCAATCCTATTTTTCTGTTGAACACACGTATAGCAAACCATGGTTCCAAAGGGGGAACAAGAATACCTTCCCACCATTTTCTTCAGAAGATTTACCATGCTCACACCCCTGTTGCTTTATGAGGAAAGGTTGAACAGTACAGGCTTGTATTTGCTGGACTTCAGAAAAGTAAGAAGCAACTTGATTGAAACTGTACAATCCTGAGGAGTCTAGACAGGTTGGATGTGGTGAGAATGTTTCTACTTATAGAAGAATCTAGAGCTATGGGTCACAATTTAAAAATAAGGGGCCATCTATTCAAAATAGAGGTGTTCTTGCACAGAATGGAATCTGGAACTCTCTTCTTGGTGGGGTGAGGGGGCGGGTGGGGGCAGAAAAACATTGTGGAAACAGAGTCTTAGAATATTTTTAAGGCAGAGTTGGATAGATTCTTGGTAAACTAAGGCATGGTGGACTATCACAGATGGAAGGGAATGTGGATGTTCAATCAGCTGTGATCTTATTGAATGGCAGAGTAGGTTGGAGGGCCTGAATGGATTACTGCTCTGTGTTCAGATGTCCTGCAGAATAGTGATTTCTGTACAGATAGTTCTCGTATAAGACGATAGTTGCGTTGTTGTGTGACCTCGTGCTGTAGAAAATTGCCGTTAAAAATCACGTTCTAGGGAAATCGCCATAGAAAATCGCTGTACCTGTACAGCAGAAAGTTCACATTATCCAAACAGCTCCACTATTCATCAATCACATTCCAGCCAGTTTGTGTTAACGAAACACGCATTATAGCAGAACTAACTGTACTCCAATTGGATAATTGTAAATTTATATGGAGCCAAAGTGAATGGAATTTCACTCAGTTTTAAAGCAAGTAAATATTGACCCTTTCTAAAAACAAATTGTGCATAGAAAATTTGAAATAAAAAATCCTAAAAATGGACAGCATGGCCATCATATGAAAGGATACACAAATTAATCTTTGAGAAGTCAGTTTTTAACAGAATTAGCCTGATTGATAGTAGCAGTTTCAACCATGAGGCATGTTGATAAAAGTAAGTTTTGTGCTTTTAATTTTATCACAGTTTTTTTTAATCATAGTATGAATTTATTGCAGTTGATCCGATTAGAAATAATTAGAAAAATTGGTGAAAATACTTCATGGGTTAACAACACCTGTCGAGAGAAACAGATGAGCATTGAAAACTGAGGGGGAGGCAATGGCCTAATGGTATTCTCGCTGGACTGTTCAGCCAGAGACCCAGATAATGTTCTGGGGACCCAGGTTCAAATCCCGCTACGTCAGGTGGTGGAATTTGAATTCAATAAATATCTGGAATTAACAGTCTAATGATTGGCAATTGTTGGAAAAACCCATCTGGTTCACTAATGTCCTTTAGGGAAGGAAACTGCCATCCTTACCTGGTCTGGCCCACATGTGACTCCAGACCCACAGCAATGTGATTGACTCTGACTCTGAACTGCCCTCTGGGCAGTTAGGGATGGGCAATAAATGCTGCCTAGCCAGCGATGTCCTCATCCTGTGAATGAATGAAAAAAAAAGGTTATTAATGTCAAGCAATTGCCCAAACCTTGAAATTGGCATCAGAACCAATGTATCTGATATGAATTAGTTAAAAAGCTATCCAACTAGTTGGCTACGTATAAAAGAACCCAAATTCAGATGCATCGTCTGGAAGAACTCCTTCAGTGCAAAGTTAACATGCAGACTGACAAAATGATCAGTGCAGAAGAACACTTTTCCTTCTTATGGTACTGGCTACTGTATGGCAAGGTCTAGTCTTTGAATGTCAGAAAGTGAGTGAATGGATGAATGGGTAGTTGCTAATAAGGTGATGGGTGACTATTCAAACAAGCATCACAAAACTCTCCAAAGTCTCTGAATCGAGCTGAGTCACAGGCATGCAGCTAGGAAACAGAAAATGCTGAAAATATTTGGAAACAGAGGCGTTGTCCGTTCTAATGCCCATTAAACTTCTGATGCAGTTCCCACATAGGTCCACTTGTACAGAGTATTGACATACATTTTCAACGGGCATCTGGTTTCTGATTATCTGGAGACCAGAGGATTTGGGTTGTTAGTTGTTTTGATCTCCAAGAGCTGCATGAAACAAATATTTTCAGCATTTTCTGTGCTTGTTCCAGATTCTGATCATTTTTTTTTTGTAGGAGTTGATTATATTCACCCTAACTTCCAACAGAATCTTGGTCTTGTTAAAATTTTGAACTGATTGTACATATCTTTCATATCAAAACCTTTTTCTTTCAGCTTTTCATATGCCAATATCATATTTGGCTTGCAGCAGATACCAAAGGAATCCTCGTACTCATTCCTGGCAACCCAGTGCTCAACATTATCGTCAGCACTTTTATTTTTGTGCTTGTTGCTCATGAAATCTCTCAAATCACAAATGATCTTGTACAGATAGCCATTCCCAAAGATAACTATGTTGCACTGAAAAGACTGTGTGCAACAGTGTTTTTATTGGGGCTTCTCACATTGTCAACTGTTGAACGATTGAACGAGTAACTGAAATAATGGCCGAGCAGGCTCAAGTACCTATTTTGACTTTCGTATTTAATAAAGAGAAAAAAACCTGAAAGAATTGTGTATTGACAGGAAGAAAGCATAAGTTTGTGCAACACTATGATTCGTCATAATATCAGATCTGAAGAAAACATACTGATGTAAATGCTTATGATGAAAAGGTTTGGTTACGTTATTGATCGATTCAAAAGCAACTTTTAAGTATTGGGATAATTGATAGAATGACTACTGAAAAGGTAGCATCTTTTGATATGCTATTTCCCGAGATTTTCTATTTGGATATACACCTGTTGGTTATGATGTTACTTTATTTTCAGTTCAGCGTTTCCGTATTTTCACTGTTATTTCTTTAAACTGCAATTATTTCCAATTTTATGAAGGAAACATTTTGGGATATCTGCTAACGTAAAGTTTGGTTCTGGATAACTTTAGGTATCCCTGTTCATTGAAAATCATAACTTCCTGATGCTAAGGAGTTTGACATCTTTTTCCTCTATCCCTATGCTGTGTTGATGTTGGGCAAAGTAGCTTTCTTTCATAGTTCACATATAGGTGCAGTATGAAAAAATGAATATCTCTATGGAGCACTGATAAAATGAATAGGCTGGGAGTTTGTTCACTGAATTATTCCTGACTTGAAAGAGACGTGTTGGCTTTGATTGTGGTGTTGCATTACTGGAAAAAGTAAGCTGCCAACAAATTTCAACCACTGCTAGTACTAGGCTACTGTTACATTTCTCTCTTTTAAAGTGAGGAAAACATTTTACCTTATTGTGGAATAAATAGTTAATTCTCCAAAGTAAATTAATCAATTTAAAACTCCTAATTTGAAATGTTGTCAATATGGACTGAAACACTGGTCTAATTAGGGACTCCTGCTCTGTGTGCAAGTGAAGTATCCAACGATTTGTAAATTTAGTTAGTATGATTGAGTGACCAGTTCCAGTGTTAACAGCCATTTCAATTTGTATGGTGAATTATGTTTTATGATTGTTCGATTATATTAGCTCTTACTAACAATGTGCTAGAATTTGTTTATTAGTTTTTAAAAAACAAGATGATTGCATTTGCTGCTACAACTTAGGCATTTTAAAAGTGTTGTAGCAGGAAGAAAGGGAAGGGAAGGAGAGGAGAGGAGAGGAGCTAAGGATTTATTACACATTTGAGTTCACCATGACTATTTCCTAAATCAGACTTGCACTTCATTTCATGAGTTAATTCATGTAAAAACCTAACTTGTGTTTTGAAAAAAATGGCCATACAGAACGCTTTAGGCACATCTTGTTTATACACTTTTAAAATATCGATATGTTCTCTCTAACTCTAGACATATTTGTAGGAAACTGTCAGGTAACTTTGTTGATGCCAAATTCTTATTCACCTGATTAGATTTTTTAACTATCTTTATTAGTCAAATTGCTCAAGAGTTTGAAGTAGTTGAGTATGATTTTTGATATGCAAGGTGCCATAAATCATTGTTACTGATATCTATTTAAATCATGGTAACATTTTTATCTTAATTTAAGTCACATTTACAGATCCTGCAGTATGTTATTTTTCACTGAATTCTTGTGCAGTGAATTAACTTTGAACTTCACATCTGCATATTTAGTAGCAAATATCTTGAAGTTGTATGACATACTTTTCAAACTACACATGCCAATGGCAGCGATCTTGCAGTGTGACAGCACAAAAGTGTTTAAGTGCCATTTTAACCCATTTTTAAAAAGATAAAGATGTGAGATCGGAATCGGGAACTCTCAAAATAGTGTCCTTTCTAATTTATCAAAACTTTTAAAAATTTATTCTTGCAATTAGAGTTTCATATAACATTCCCTCCCTTTTCTCCAATTGACAAGAGGTAATGGTGCATTGAGACAGCCAAACTAGAAGATCCTAGATTTGATGAGGACTAAGTTCACTGATTTCATTATGAATAGTTCAACATTCCTTAGGAACATTAACTATTTCCTCCTGGAAAGTGTGCTTGCGCAGCACTTGGCAATTTAACACTTTGCCAATGGTAATTGTTTAAAACCACAAGAAGCATGACCTTGTAAGCAAGGTACTGTGCAACTGTGCCCAGCATGTTATATATTGAGCAGGAATGTAACATTTATAGGTGTATCAAAGTGGGTAAAACCAGATTTCATCATTTTGGAGGAAGGTGGCAGGCAGGGGAAGTTGAGAGTTTCTCACAATGCAGTCAATCAAATTTCTCGAATGGTAGTTGACTTCACACTGTTGTTTGTGATTCCCACAATTGTTTGGGCCTTATTTATTTTACTAAATTGTTAATTCTTCTGAAAGTCTATGAAATAAAGATCTGAGTAAGTTTTGCACTAAAATTCAATTTGTAATATTCCACTGCTTGCATGTGCTTTTCTTTGCAAAATGTTTTGCTTGTGAATGACTTCTGTAGCCTTCAGAACCTTTTGGTCACCAGAACTGGAGTGAGTTTTATATGTAGTCCCTTTCTGTTCATTGTACTTCATTTTGAAATGATAGCTTGGCTGAAGAATTTACTGCACTTAAACAGGATTTCAGGCTTGAGTAAATTCCAGCAGTTACAGAAAATAATATATAAGTCCACTATAATATAATACCAAATGTTAATCTTTGACAGTTTTTATTGCACTTGGGGTCACATTTTTAGTACTGCCACTTATATTTGAGTTCTTGCAGTATTGCAGGAGAACCATATTTTGTGTATAGATGAACTTTTTTCTGTTTTTGAGGTTTTGCACTTATGAAGAGCCACGTGACTGTGGTATGTTTATAATTGTTCAACAATTTTCCTGAAACAGCTGAATGCTAATTAAAATTTTCTGAAATGAGTTTCATTTACAATTTATCATTGTTTATAATGGATTTCCTGGGTAGTTTGAGATGTGAAAATTTAATGTTGTAGTGTTAAAGACAAAAAATTTATATTTTGTACAATTTCTAATCATGTGAGTTCTTTAGGATTGTTTTGCAGATTTATGGCATTGTTTTTTAAGTGTTTTTCCTGTTTTTAAAAACTAAGAATTTGTGTTATAGAGCTGCAATGTCATTCAGTGATGTTTACTCTTAGATTGTGTGGAAGATTTTCACCTAGTTTAATGATTGAATTCAGTTTCTTTCCACATGCTTTTATTTAGTTTCTGGGCCATATGTAAAATAACTGGTTATGATAAGCATAAATAAATTGGTCTGACTTAAGGAAGTTAAGGAATGCATGATGTTCAAACTTTTTCCGATATGTTTGTAGTTTTCATTTGTGTTTGGTGGTTTGCTAAGCCACTAACTGTTGAAATGTGTACTTCGTATTGAATGTGCCAAACCTAAAATAAATTTCCCATGTTTTCTATGCTTATAGTGTTTATTAGGAAGCTGGTTTTGACAAAATTTCAAGTTTTCCCCAGCTCTTGGAAACCTGTAGGACTAGGAAAGCATTAACCTTCAGTAGTTTAAAAACAGCCTTCTGCATTCTAAATACCATTAATTTCTGTAGCTCTAAAATGATTGTTATGATTTATGTTATGTTTAGTTCGTAAATTGTATTTCATTTAGTTAATTTTGAAGTACATTTGATTTGAAGCATCTGATATGGGCCTACTTTGATATGTACAAAGTTTGATTGCATAAATTTTAAGAATCTATATCTAATGGAATGAAGCTCGAAAATTAATGGCAGCCAGTTTAACGACATGGAAAATTCCTTCATTTTTGAGCTTCTTTATGTAGAATCCCCACAGAGTGGAAACCGGCCATTCGGACCAACAAGACCACACCAACTCTCCAAAGAGCATCCCACTCAGACCCATTCCGCTACTCTATCCCTGTAACCCTGCATTTCCCATGGCTAATGCACCTAACCTACACATCCCTGAACACTATGGATAATTTTAGCATGGCCACTCCATCTAACTTCCACATCTTTGGACTGTGGGAGGAAACCAGAGCATCTGGCAGAAACCCATGCAGACACGGGGAGAACGTGCAAACTCCACACAGGCAGTTGCCCGAGGCTAGAATTGAGCCAGGGTTGCTGGTACTGTGAGGCAGCATGCTGCCCTTTAATGGCTCCTGTTTTAGAATGAGTGTGCTGAATAGTGAAAAACTGCAGCTTGTCATTTGCTTATGCAGCAGAATTAGGACAAATATTTGATTACCAGAGGATTGTAGTGGGAGAGAGATCCACTGAGGCCTTTCCAGAGGGAGGAAAACAACTTCAAGGTGGGCATCCTTGGAAGAGGCTTCACAGTAGGGTTGTAACTCACTCAGATAGGAAGAACTGCAGATGCTGGAATCAGAGATAACACAATGTAGAGCTAGAGGAACACAGCAGGCCAGGCAGCCTCAGAGGAGCAGGTAAGCTGACATTTCGGGTCAGGACCCTTCAGAAATTTCTGAAGTCCCGACCTGAAACATCAACTTTCCTACTCCTCTGGCTTGGTGTGTTCCTCCAGCTCCACACTGTTACTTCTGACTCCAGCATCTGCAGTTCTTGCTATCTCTTAGGACAAATATTTGCTTTGTTTAGTTGGTCCAGTGAAGCATTAACTTTAGTTCTACTTTGAACTGATCCAAACATAATCCCATTTGCTTTTATTCAATGTCTCCATAAGCATACAACGTTCAGTATTGCCAGAATGTTGTTTTGCTTTGTGATTTTTTTAATAGTTGAGGTAGATAATTGGCATTTGGCACCATTAATGCATTTGTTGTATATACATGGCACAAAATTTCAATAAAAGAAAGTTCTATTCCATTCAGATTATATATTTAAAATTTATTGAATGTATGAAACTTTAAAGGAACATTACCGAACTGTACAGTCTTGTCCATAGTTGTCTGCTCAGAATAAGCAAATTTATAGTGAAATCATCCTGTAATGTGCATAGATTATTGAGCAGTAGATACTTGTCAAATTATAAAAGGACGCTGGTTAAACTGACAGGTTCCTATGTTTTTGGAATCAGTAGGAACGAATGAAAAGCATGGATTAAAAATAACACTTATAAGTGAATGACCAAATATGGTCCATTGTGAGTGATCTAGTTTGAATGTATTCATCAAACTAGTGCAGGTACCTTTTCTCTTCACCACAACTATCTTCTGAATTTCCAATGTAAATTCAAATAAATATTAATGTCAAAATAAAAGAAATAATACAGGATTTTGTGCATACTTCTTTAAAACTTTCAGTATGGGCTATATGTTTAAAAATCTTATATTTTGGATAAATGCAGTCTTTTAAGTATTTCAGTAGGAATAGATAGCTATCTCTTCCTCATGGTTTTAGCCATATATTGCTCATTGCATGGATTCAACCCCTTACAGTAAGTTGTAGGAATTTTAATAAACTTTTTAAACATTCATCTAAGTTTCAATCTGGAAATTGGCAAGACCAAGCAATATCTTGTATTTTGATGTAAATTTCATGCTTGAAATAGTTGTTTCCTTGCTGCCTCCAGAAGGGACAAATCTGACCTCAAATAGCTTGGAGGGTATTATAATTCTGTCTTGTAACATTACTTACCTACAACCTAAAAATAGAATTAAACACTTTTGTTTCCAAAATGTTGAATGTATTTTAAGTAGCTGCTCTGCTGTACCGAACATAATTTAATTGTAAATTAATTTTAATGCACTCTGGGATATTGATGTGGCTGGCCAGGTCAGCATTTATTGCCCATCCCTAATACCCTTGAAGATGGTGATTAGCTGCTTGCTTGAACTGTTGCAGTCCTCACAGTGCAGGTAATCCTTCAGTGTTAGGAAAATTCCAGGATTTTGACCCAGTAACAGTGAAGAAACAGCTGTATAGTTCCGTCAGGATGCTGTAAGGGTTGGCTGGGAATTTGCAGGTGGTGGTGATCCTATTTCTCTGCTGCTCTTGTCGTTCTAAATGGTAGAGGTTGAAGATTTGTTCAGTTGTGTTGCAGTGCATCTCATGAGTGTTGTGCACTGCTGCCATTGTACATTGGTCTTGGAGAGAGTGAATGTTGAAGCCATTAAGTGCCAAACAAACAAGTTTATTTGTCCCGAATGATAAAAAATAATAACTTACAAAACTAATAACATTCATTTAAAAATGTCAACATCCCCTCTTAAAGTTTCCAGCATGTGTAGTGACATTGTCTTTGCTTTAAAAAAAAGGAGTCCATTATGATCATTGTCAAATTGGGAAAGCTGAATTAAAAAAAATTCCAGTGTACTGGCAAAGCCACTGATTTACTGTGTGCAATTGTAAGTGAAAATTCCAATAAAGTTCTGAGATACTGAGTTGGACGTGAGATTGTGTTAAACTTCCTTTAGAAGGCTTTGCCTTCATGATTGTGTGAATATTTGTTCTGACACTTTGCATTACTGTTGTCGTCTGCTGAATTTGTGGAATTATCAAACTAGATTGATGTTCTTTATTTAACATATTAAACCTCTAGGTGTTTGCTCTTGTTTAATCTGTGACAGTCTTACATCCACACGCTCGTCTCTATTTCAGCTAATGGTACGCCGTTTTAAAATAAGGGTTGTGTATCTCTGCATACATTTTAGATTTGTGGACATTAGATGTTCCCATTTATAGTTTACTCTGAAACTAAAATTAGGTTTCTTGTTTAACAATTTTTTCTACTGGATAAGCAAGTGCAAAACTAGCTTAGCTCAAACATGGATTATCCATAAAGTTAAATACTATTTGAGACTTCACCCGATTGTGATTCATCCATCATTTGAATCTACTTTGTGATGGAAATTAAAATACAAGCCTAAATATATTGTGCACCCAAAACATTTCCTTGCACTTATTTGTTGTTTGCATGTAACATTTAGTGAGATTTCATGCAATTACAATGTGAAATGCCTGTCATTTTTAGTATGTTATCTTAAAAAAAAAAGCGTAAAGGTCCTATGTAATTAAAAATTACCAACTTTGGGACTTAGATTTAAAATAAAATTGAACACTTTCATTGGAAACATCGTGTTTGTACTTTTAGTAATGCTTCAATTTAAATTTGTTAGTTCATTTTCTGCATTTGTTATTTTTGATTGCAGAAAGAAGTTCCTTATTCCAAATATGTTAATCTTAACTTGCTCCCCTATTCTGGTTTTGCATGTGGCATCTAACCCCAATACCTTGTCCATTCTTGAGACATAGATCCAGATATCTGATTCTAATTAGAAGAAAATATTACCAGCATAAAAGAACTTATTCCCTGTGCTCCCAGAAAGGTAGGTGGTTATCAAAGGAGCAAAATGATAGGTAGTTCAGAACTTGATCGGAAAGATATTACCAGTTCAGCAGCTAATACCAAAGAAAGAAAACTGGATGAGGTTGAGTAGTGTGTGGCTTGAAGCCAGGAATGTTTTATACCACTGTCAACGTGAAGGATAAATACTGACATTTACTTACTGGTGGGAAATATTGATAATTAGTAATATACACATGAAAAAAGTAATATGAGAAGTATAGTGTGGTTTGGTACTCTACTAGTAATCCAAAGCCAAGAGATCAAATTGTACCATGGTGAATAGTGACATTGAATTCAATAAATTTGGAAATTTGTTAGTTAACACAAGATGCAAATAGCAATATAAGCTGTCGCATTGTCATGAGCATCTCAAATGATTCACATGTATGATTTTTCTACACTAAGTAGAATGGTGTTATGGACCATACCAAACCCCCTCAAAATATATCAAGAAGATAGCCTAGACCCTAACTTATTATTTTATTTAACGGCAAGTGTAAGGCACAGTGTTCCAGATGTGATTTGATTAGTCTACCACTAGGTTTTAAGCAAAATACACTTTATTCTTACAACACAGTTAAAATACAAACAAGTTGAAATACTTACAAAATAAGATATTATCTAACTACTAATCATCAACTGTTCCAATTTAGCAGCATGCTATATACAGCCCCTTGGCAAAGGCAAATTCAGCAAAACAGATTTTCCTCAGAGGCTATGTCCTCCCGAGTGCAGGAGAAAGGAACACTGAAAGAAACGATCTGGTAGCAGAGAGCGAGAACTCCAGCTTTGCCTGCAGCAAAGAGAAAGCTGTATCTAACAGCTTCAGCAGCCAACTCCAAACCTCAATTGAAAGCACAACCAAAACCCTGGATCTAAGTGATCCACTCATGCTGATTTTTTTCTAATTCAAAGAAAAAGACTCGGGGAGCTCAAAGCTGTTTACCCACTGCTTCTGAAACAGATATTCTGGCACCACTGTGGCAACATCTCTCTGCAAGAGAAACAGCACAGGACAAATCTGTCTGAAAGACACAGTACCATCACAATGTCAGATGGGTAGTTCCAGTGAGGATGCTGGATTAGCCCTTTAAAACAGTCTGTATTCAGTAGA